AAAAAAAAAAAAAAAAAAGAAAAACTGCTGTGGGACTTGGCTGGTGACAGAGACTTACCGCTAAGCTGCTCCATAAAACAGACATTGCCGCTGGTGTTAAAGGCCAGCGTGTCTGGTGTAATACACAGAGTCTGGAAGATGGCTGCGTGAGAGATGTCCTTCATGGAATAGCAGCATTCCAGGCAGATTGCCCAAATGTCCTGCTCAGCGAGACAGTTATCCCGGAGTGACAAAATATCCGCCAAGGAGACGTTTTCCTGCCAAGAGATTTCACAGTAATTTGGCAACGTTATAAACACAGCGCTGCACCACATCTTAATTTCTTACCAAACTCTATTACAAGGGAAACAATGCAAATGAAAAACATTTCTGTAAAATACATAACTCTCCCGATCATTGGGGAGAACGTGGCTCATTATCATGTAGTATAATAAGAAGCTGATTGATTGCCATATGCAACTGCTCCAGATTATACCTGCTCGAGTTTTGGTAGATTCCCCTCAATGAGCTTTCACTTTTTTCATTTTACCTTTCAAGTTGTTTCTTTGAAGCAGAATTATAAACAGGACTGCAAGCTAAACAATTTCATAGTGCAATTAGAAGGGGCATTCTGAGAGAAAGGGTATTAACATACAATGTGCTACCCAAGCCTTGAGATCTCTACCCTTTGCTATGACAGACAGTCCTAAAATCTACTATACAACTAATAATGAATGTCTGGGAAGGTTCTCATTCATCCAGGTCATGGTATCTCTGTAAAAAATAAAATCAAGCCACGTGCTCTTACTGTATTTTCCTTGAAGACTTTAAGCTGGTCATCCGACTAGCTTTCTCAATTATGAATGGAAAAAGCTAGTCAGATAACCAGCAAAACATCTTCATGAAAAATACAGCAAGTCCAGTTGCCTTGATTTATTTTTTACAGATAAAACTTATCATGAAATCTACCAGAACAGTACAGACAGGGTTAAAAAAGAACTCCAGATATTCACAAAATTAACCCTAGCTGTGGGGCTACCCCCACACTGCAATGGTAGGCTGCTCGCTTTGGTCTAGGGGCCAGAACTGAGAAGATATACTCACTTGATCCTCGGTTCTGCAGCAGTCAACATTCACCTCTCTTTCCCTCCACTCTGGCATCCTCAAGTCTAATTCAGGAGAACGGACCTTCATTAGATGCGACAACACCAGTGGGACTTAGACTGCCGCAGCACAGGGTGAGGGAGGCTGCAGGGATCGGTCTAGCAGCCCGGAGGGACCTAGGATCGGGCGAGTATAACTTTGAGAAGATACACACACCTGATCCTCAGTCCTGCAGCAGTCAGTGTGGTGGGGGAAGAAAGGAATGTCCCTCGGCATCCTCATGTCTAAGGCAGGAGAATGGACCTTCATTAGATGTCATGACATCAGTGGGACTTAGATTGCCGGAGCCTGGATTAGAAGAGGCTGTGCTGACCAGACTAGCAGTCAGGTGGGTTTGCGGATAAGGTAAGTATATCTTCTTCAGGCCCTAAACCAAAAACAAGGCGTTATCCCAGTGAAAGGGTTAATTTTGTTAATTACTGGAGTTCCTCTTTAACTATGGTAAACATAACTGCCCAGCCCCCTCCTTAACAATACACAGAAGAAGAAAGTCAGGTAGAATATTTTAGCATGCAACAATTTTTTTTAATGAACAATATTAATTAAATTCGGTAAGGGTGTAAACACAGTGCTAGACCACATCTTCATATTTTATCCCAATGCTATTACAAGGAAATAATGCGAATGACAAATAATCTGCAAAATACACAACTCTGCCAATCGCCATCCTCCTTTACTGGGGTAGAACATGGCTTATTGTGCAGAAGTATAGGGACACATAGCAATCAAACCCCATTGAGCTTTCACCTCTTTCACTTTATTACATTTCTAGTTGTTTCTTTTTATTTGGACTAGAATTATACATAGGACTGCAAGCTACCCTGAACAATTTCAAAGTGCAATCAGTGGGGCAAAAAGGAGCATTGGTGCAATGGGCAAAATGGTGCATTAATATACAATGTGCCAGCCAAGTCTTTACCCTTTGTAAGGACAGACAGTTCTGAACATCTACTTTACAACTGTGAGATCTGCCAGCACAGTACAGACAGGGTTAATAATGGAAAACACAACTCCCAGCCCCTAAACATAGAAGTTAGGTACATTTTAAGCAAGTAAAAAGGTAAGCAACAGTTTAAATATCAATCAGATGATGGGGCAAACAAAGCGCTACACCACGTCTTCATCTAATCACCAAACTCTATTACATGGGAATAATGCAAATGGCAAATAATCTTTAAAATACACAACTCTGCCAATCACCATTGTTTAATTGCTACTACTCATTTGCAGATTCGCAGCTAGCGGCTCATCGGATTCTATAACCTAGTACAAAAACTTATATTTGTCCAAGGTTATAGAAGCTGATAGCAGCGCAGTGGCAACTGTGGTTGTAATAAGAATCATGTGGCGCAGGTGCTGTAACATAATATAACCTTTGACTAGGTTATAGAATGCGATGAGGCAATAGCCACTGCACCCGCACGGCTATCGGCTTCTATAACATAGGACAAATATAACTGTAGTAGGTTATAGAAGTGGATAGCCGCGCAGGCGCTGTGGTCATAGTTAAGACAGTTTGACAAGGATTTCCTGGGCATGCCACTAGCACCATCTGCTGTAGATCTCCTACAGATGTGACGTCACCAGTTGGATAGGTCGACAATTCGGAACTTTCTATAGAACACCGGCAATTATCCCCAAGTATCTGTCTGTAGATTGTCATTAATAAACATTTCTAAAAGGGGTCTTTGTCATTTTAAAGAGAAGGGCAATGTTCCTCTGTAAAAACATAATCCAGACCTGTTACTTGAATTGAATCACATATGTATTAAACAGATTTATTTTGTGTTCTGCACACATACAATACAATAGGTACGATTTTCCCTGAACAAAAATTCACGGTTAGAAATTCATTTGTTTATGTAACAAGCGAGAAAAATTCTGCTCTCTCAATTTTGCTTGTTACTATGGCCAAAAGTGGGCGTCAATTAGACCGCATTTACCATTAGAAAAATCGAACGTTCTGAAAATGAAAATTTTTGAAGGAAGTTCTACAGGTTTACGGCCAGCCTAAGTAAAGCTAAATAAGGGAGCAAATATAAAATACTGAACTGTTAGAAAGATGGACCAGAAACTAGGAGGTGCACCGAAATGGAAATTCCAAAACCGAAATGAAAAAGAAATTGTCAGGCCGAAACCGAAACTGTTGTTTTTTTATTTTTTTTCACATTTTTTAAATATTTTATCTTTATTTATAAACTTATCATAATTGAGGATATAGTAACCATACCATGTCCTCAATTATCTACAAACACTCAGCGATCACTGATCACAGTGTTTGTACTTGTTCTCCTTCATGACACGCTGTCACAGGAGGCTGAGCGAGCGGAGCAGAGAGGAGAGCGCGGCCTGTCTCCACCACCACACCGTTATGCCGGGACTGTGATAGGAGGCCGAGCAGTGTGGGAGGAGAGACGCCGGCCACTCACAGCGCTCTCCTCCCGCAGCGCTCGGCCTTATACACATACACCACAGCAATGAAGTATTAAAATGAAGTAGGATCACACTAATCCAGCACATTATTAATCCCAGGTGCCCCACTCAAGCAGCGGCCATAATAATACAAATGATTTCCAATGTGCGGAGAAAAGATCTTCTCCCATATTGTGAATGAATGCCGTGGCAGCTGTATATACATAAAAACATTTTATGATCATTTCCCAATAATCTCCAAATGAGACAGATCTGTCCAGGCAAAATATCAACACATAGGGGAATCCTCGTTTAACCGTGGATCTATCCAATCTCCTTAGCCTGTCTATAATTCAATACGCTTCTATACAGAACACAAGTTTAACCTCTATGGTCCAAAACTAAAAATAAGTCTGTATTCCTATAATTCCTATCCAACCCCTAATAACCATACCCATGTAGAAGTTTATAATCCAACTCAGGGCTCAAAATTTCCACTCGCATTTTGCGAGTAAAAATAAGGTGAGGGCGATTGGAAATTTGGACTGTAAGGTCATTAAAATCTCGTACGCTGAGGGGAGGGCTCCCGATGATTGCAGTGCCGAGTGGGCAGTGTGTACTTGCGCACACCGGCCCGTGTGGCATTAGTCTTTCGACCACGCCACCTACACGCCAAAAATCGTACGATTTCAGGCAGGTTTTCCAGCATGCTTGGAAGACGAAAGTCGTACGACCATACAGTAGAAGCGGTCGCATGCTGCCCATACACCTGGCGATTATCGTACGATTGCGGGATCACCCGCCATTATCGTACGATAATCAGCAGGTGTATGGACACCTTTAGTGTATGTGTATATTAGGCCCCATTCACACCTACAGTATATTTCAGGTTTGATTAGAGATTCCTGTGTCAGGAACTTGCGTTTTCCTGCAGCAGGAATCCCTAATCTGCCGTTTACAAGCGGCAACTATCATAAGATAAGAATTATCATAAGATTATTTAAGAGGGTGTTTTTAGGGGCGGAGTTAAGGCCGGGGCAGGGTAAGGGTTAGGTGGGGCAACTGGTGGCTAGTGACTCTTAAGGCCTGGCTAGTAGCTCAGGACTTGAAATTTTGAGCCCTGATCTAACTTATTGAAGAGGGCCATAGGATGTAGTGCCGAGATTTCACTCAGCCCTGTGAATATGTTCTTCCTTGCGTCACAACTAGCAGAGCCAGCCTTCTGAACTACAACTCAACGTCTGAACTATGTAACATTATCATTGCTTGCTGGAAGCAATGCATGATGGAATATGTATTCTAGAGATATCAAGATTGCATCACATGAAGCAGCAGGGAAAGCACACTGGGAATCCAAGAAATTGTAGGAAGTAATGCTTCCTAATTAATTAGTAATTAAGCTTTAACTGCATGATCAACAAATCAACTCTAGTATGTATTCCTATTACAATGCTGATGTTATAACAGGACAACGTATGCTGGGACTTTAGAATTTAAAATCTAAATTTCACTATAGATCTAGATGTGCACCTGTGCTTGCTCCTAGTCCTTAGAAAGCACTGTGCATTGCAGTTCATATAAAAAAAAAAAAAAAAAAAAAAAAAAAAAAAAAAAAAACACATAATAGAGACACTCCAGGATTTTCAAAAGTTAACCCTTGCAGTGGGCCACCCTCGCACTGCATGGGTTAACTGCTCGTTCT